CAATGTATTTCATTGAAACACGATCAAGTATATCCAAAACTATCAAAGAGAAGATATCACGGTTGAATGAATAGAGAAAAAAAAACAAATGTCTGAACAATAATTTTCTTGGAAAGGTCGGTATTGGTTGTTATTATCAGCATGTTGCTTAAGCTTGATACTCGTGTATTTATAAGCCATTTTGTGAATTGTACTAGTTAATTCAAATGCATCTTAATGAAATCACACAAACAGCGGGTTTCAAATTTACGCACAACAACTTCAAAGCAGACAAACACAACTTAAAAAAATTTATTGATTACTTGATGCATTTGAGACTCTATGTATAACACTTAAGTAATTTAAGATTGGTGTAAACGTTAATGATCTTAACATTTTGAAAAGAGATCTCTAGGGAGCAAATGAAATAAAAGAGGTTGAAAATTGCAATCTTGATTATATTAAGTAAGTTCATAAGAATACATCCAGACAATAATGAGCTTCTAAAGAGTTAACTTGGAACAAATTATAATTTGTGTTATAATTTTGTTCCTTTGAGTTTACATTTCAAGATTGCTCTCTGTCTATATAACATTGAATTTTCCGTGAATAATTTCAATAAAAATTGTTGTAATTTTTAGCTCGACTATTCGATAAGAATAAGTAGAGCTATTATAGTCACCCGAGCGTCGGCGTCGGCGTTGGTGTCCGCGTCGGCGAAACCACTTACGTTAAAGTTTTTGTAATAGTTAAAATATTTTCAAAGTCCATTGACATATGCTTTGAAACTTTGCTAACTTGTTCACCATCATGACCCCAACCTGTAGACAGGAGAAGGTAACTCTTTCAAGCATTTTGACAGAATTATGCCCCTTTTTCGACTCAGAATTTACGTTAAAGTTTTTGTAATAGTTCAATTTTTTTCAAAGTCCATTGACTTAAGGCTTTGAAACTTTGCACACTTGTTAACCATTATAACCCCAACCTATAAACAGGAGGAGTTGACTCTATCAAGCATTTTGACAGAATTATGCCCCTTTTTGCGACTTAGAATTTACGTTAAAGTTTTTGTAATAGTTCAAATATTTTCAAAGTCCATTGACCTATGGCTTTGAAACTTTGCACACTTGTTCACTATCATGACCCCAACCTGTACACAGGAGGAGGTAACTCTAACAAGCATTTTGACAGAATTATGCCCCTTTTTCGACTTAGAATTTACGTTAAAGTTTTTGTAATAGTTCAAATATTTTCAAAGTCCATTGACATATGGCTTTGAAACTTTGCACACTTGTTCACCATCATAAACCCATCCTGTAAACAGGAGGAGGTAACTGTATCAAGCATTTTTTTTAATATCAAGCACTTAGAATAGTCGAGCATTGCTGTCCTACCGACAGCTCTTGTTGTTGTCACTGTGCGTTGAATTTGTAGTATATTGCAAAAGATTGACCATATTCATGGTGATTGATAAATAATTGATCATGATATATATCTTAAGGATGAATTATGATACAAACATGACATACATTAAAAAAAACAACAACTACCAACACTTTTACAAAAAAGTGACTAAACTGAACTGAAATTTCCGTCGGTCACGTTAAGTACTGATTATTTGTTACAGTAAAATATAACTGTGAACACAATTCTTTTACAAAATGTTATTTTGATTTTTAACTGTTCACTGACCTTTGACTCTTGGATGGGAAAAATTCAACTATAGTATAAGACACTTCAATTTTCAATTGTGTTTGTTTTCACTATACTGGTATCGAAGCAGTATCCGTCGGCTAGTAGTATCCGACAATACGGTTATTTTCGTTTACCGCAACTCTTCAAAATTGAAGGTACGGATTTTTCAGAACGCTATCATCAAAGGAAACGCTCGACTGAATTTCTTCTGTCAAGGTAACATAATTAGGTAAACAAAAATTTTCTTCTTACCTTTAGATTTACAATCAGGTGTGTTTTACATTTTTCGCATGGGGGATTTCACGTGCTACTAATGCGCATGCGCAAAGGATAACTCTATTAGGCCCTAATTAAGACAAGTTTTCCCCCTTTGCCGGCCAAATACAGACGACTTTTCAAAAGTCGCCAAAAATCATTAAAATCCATCATAATCAATCAATATAGCTTATACTTTGTATTATTTGTCATTTTTGACCAACAAGTCCTGAAAATAAAAGCGAAAAAGTCATAAAATAGAAAAACCGCTGCTCAATTTTTCTAACCAAGGGAGGCAACTCTGTATATCACAGTCTGTACTTTAACAGTAGGTTGTTTCCCGTATACATGACTATTTTTATTCTGGGGCACCCTATGGGGTTTCAGGATAATTCAACAAAAAAAAAAACGAGCTCATTTTTTTGCTATGCCGATTTAAAAATATGTCGTTTTTTCTTTTCTTTTTTTCTTACAAAAAAAGAGATGACGATAAAATACAAAGATGAAGATCTAATGAATGCCGTTTCGGCATATCGGCATTAAACAAAGCAATTGTGTAATGTACAAAGGACCACGTAACATATTCATATATAATTAAAGGACTTCATGTATACCTACCTACATTGTCATTTATTTTGTTTTTTAGAGATATAAGGACTTCATGTATACCTACCTACATTGTCATTTATTTTGTTTTTTAGATGCCCAAAAACTACAATGATGATGATCTGATGAAAGCTGTTTCAGCTGTTAAGAAAAAGCAGTTAACAGTATTAAAGGCTGCAAGGGAATTTAACATCCCCAGAACAACAAATCTGATCAAAAAACCCAGAATATAAGAACAAAAGCGGTCAGTGAAAAACTTACCAGAGAAGAAACAGATGGCTTGTAAATTACGTGTTATACATGGCCACAAGGTTTTCCGCTAACAAGAAGGAGGTCCCTGTACGGCAGGAAACTAATCAAACGTTCAGTTGTTATTTCAACCTACCTGCTTTAATATTACCAGTTATTCTAAAATTGACAAGCAAAATATTTTCCTCACAAACTCGACCAAATTACTTTAATATTGGTAGTTGGAGTCTCTCTCACTACACACGCGCGCACGCGCTCACACGCATCTTCCAAAATATATTTTCAATATTTTAAGATGAGATAAAGAGTAAAAAATGCCATAGTCAAATAGTCAAAGTTATAATATAATAATACTACATTACAGGTCGAGTTTCACTCTTCAATATGAACAAAGGCCCCAGCGACGAATGGTTCCGAAAACTTGTAACAGAATATCCGCAACTCGCATTCAGGAAGCCAGAGAGCCGGGATAGAGGCAGAAGCAGAATGTCAAACAAAACAGTTTCAGATGATTTTTTTAAATTTTGGACGGACATGCTTAAAAAACATAATGTCATAGACAAGCCATCTCAGGTGTGTTGAGAAATAAAAAACACTACTTTTCAAATGTTAAAAAACTGATATATAGTAAAATAATCTCACTATTCTTTATTATGATACATGTACATAATCTAACTCAGTATCGACGACGTATTTTTGCAATTTACAATTACCACGAAGTAAAACAAAAAACTTGTGATGTTTATTGCTTCACACTAATTTAAGTTATTAAGTTCACATTTAAGACAGATATAATGATAATTCGAGGTTTAACGCTGTATCATAATATGATGTCTACGTGACTTTAGGTCTAAATCAAACTAAACTGATTTGAATCTTCTATATATAGCATTTTCGATAACACACCCTTTTCTACATTTTTTTTTAAAAAACCCAACTGCCCTGACCTTCTTTTATAATATAAACTTTTTCAGGTGTTCAATTGCGATGAAACTGGCTGGTCAGGAAAAGAATGTGCCAGAGAAAAGGTAATTGGGCCAAAGTCTGGTCACATATATCAGCAAAACGTTATGAGCAACGACCATGTGACAGCTCATCTATGCGTATCTGCTGACGGGACTTTCATCCCAACTCTGATTATATATAAGGGCTGTATGCCGCACCGCAATTACAAAGACGGTTTGCCAGGTAAAAATTAATTCCAATTGTATAATCATGGTCAACCAATAAATGCTAATTCTTCTGCTGTACATACTTGGACGAAATAAAAGAATCTATCTACGTTTTTATCAACTATGTTCTATTGCCTCGCCAAATTTTATCCAATACCATGTAATTTGTATACTAGTGTCTTCTGTTTAAATATCTGTCAGGCCTTTTTTCCTCTATTTTGGGAAATCGCCACATTGCAAATTTGGGAAATTTGTGTCATAAAATTTTTCAATTTGGGAGAAAAATGTTATCGTGAAATTTGCCAATTTGGTAAAATATGCTAGCATTCAAGGTGTTACAACTGTTAAAATAAATCTAAATAAATCTTGTTCAAATGTGTACAAATTTAAAGCTGATATCAATAAAAAATCCTGTTTTTGTTAACTTTTTAAAAACTAAACATGAATATATTCTGTAAGGCCTTCGTGTATACGATGTAAAAGTGACTTTTCTTTAGAAAAATAAATTCGTTTTTTATGTACACAGTTCTTTTATAATATAATTTATACCCTTTATTTCAGGTTCATGGCTTTTCAGCGCTTCTGACAGTGGTTATATGGAACCAGCATATTTCTCCAGTGGTTCACTAAAGGCTTTTTACCCAATTGTGGGAAAGACCGGCCAGTAGTCCTTCTTATGGACAATCATGAGTCACATATATCCTTGCCTCTAGTAGAAATTGCCAGGAAGGAAAATGTGATACTTGTTGGGCTACCATCCCATACAACCCATTACTTACAGCCCTTGGATGTAAAAATAATAGGGCCATTAAAAGATAAGGTGACCAGACTTGCCTCGAGTGTTGGTTTGCTCGACCTGGCCTGTACTATAGGCAAGTCTCGGTTACCTATCTTGCTGAGCTATGCCATTGACCAGACTGCGCCGAGCTCTGTCAAGGAGGCTTTCAGATTGGCTGGTATAATGCCAGTCAATTCCTGAAGTGATCGACGCCAGTCAGCTTATTCCACCATCATTCCCTACTAGAGGAGCGGGTGGAACAATCGATGGCCACAAAGAACATGCAACATGCTGCGCGCCAATTCATTGGAGAAAATCCACTGGTAAAAAGAGGGGTGGTTCCGGCATGCCTGGCAGAAGTTTTAATACCACCACCAGCAAAGCCTCTATCCCAAAAGAAACGTCCTAGCAAGGCAGTCACTAGCGGTAGAGTGTTGTCGGGAGATGAAATGCTCCAAATACTAAAGGTAAATCAAATAAAACACCGATATACTTGAGTAAAGCAAAGATATCAATAATTAATACAGTTAATAATTAATACAGTATCTAGTTTCAATAAATCTGTTATCCTTTTCCTCTTAATTCTAAATTTTCTCAAACATGTTAGAAAGAAGTTTTACATCATAAAATGCATTTATTTTAAGAATGTCCGATTATTAAAATTGCAGGAACGTGAAGAAACAGAAATAAAGAGACAGGAACAAAAGAAACAACGTGAAGAAGAGAGGGATTTGAAACGTAAACAGAAATTGGTGGAAGATGAGTTGAAGGCTGCGAAAAGACAGAAAAGAGAGACAGAAAAAAATGAAAGAGAACAAGAAAAGTTAAGAGAGAGAGAAAGAAAAGAGAAATTTGGGAAATTAGCAGATAAAAAGTATACGTGTGGTGTTTGTGGTGAAAGAGGAAGGATACATGATGAACAATATGGTGTTGAATGGTATGGTTGTGACAATGAATTATGTGTAACAACAGGTTGGTACCACTTTGACTGTTTGTGTGAAAGCGAGAGGAACGTTATAAGAGAGAGTTTGGATGATGATGACGTACAGTGGTACTGCAAAGCATGTTTCCCACGTCTTTATGAGGAAGAATAAATGATAATTATAACGTTAAGCAATCAGAAATTGGAAGACAAGACAAATGAGTTTTAAACAAAATATCTTGATTCATATAAAAAGGAAATATGGTGTCTTTTTTATATGTTATATGTTGTTAATTCATGTTATCATAATTTTTTCATTAATAAGATTTCTATTTATGTTTCAGATAGAACGTATTTGAAGATTATTTTTATTTCACACTTTTACAACTTTGTTTACACACAATGTTTTTCGAAATCACTATGCTTCAAAAATTGTCTTTGGGAAATATTGATTGACCCTGAGTAAGTTTGGGAAAAACATTTTCTTTTTTTTTCTCCCCTTTTAAAAAATATCAAAAATTTTGTTCAGATACCCTATTTTTTCTTTCAACAATCCTTCAAATTTACAAGTAAAACACCAAATGAAACGATAATATTTTGTTTAAAATGTATTAAAAGAGGCTTATAAGACAACAAAGTCCTTTACAGATTTAAAAACCCTCAAAATCGACGATTTGAAATATGTGACCGAAACTGCTTCCGTCATGATTAACATGGGCATTAGCATTTCCTACTATTTATTTTAAATAAATAATTATGATTTAACTTCAAAATATGTTTACCTCAAATAAGTTGTTGGCACACTTTCTTACATTTCATTTATTTCAATATCAAAGAACATTTTAGTTTTGGTAAGAAAACACGGAAACATATTCATATGGGTACATTCTGATAGTAATCCAGTCATCAAACTTTACTATCGATATATAAAATGTGTCCCTTTCTTTCAGTTTACATACAAATAACATGTACCGATATACCAATAACAAAAAGAAATGGCGAGCTGAACTTTAACATTTTTGCCTAATGTAGATTTAATAACCGGCCAAAATAGAATGGTGACTTAATTATTTATTTGATAATGTCAGATAACAACAAAACCAGTGATATTTTTATAACTATTTTATATATTAATTGTCGGCTACGTAAATGTCTCGTTTGATTGTTAGGAACTGGTCAATGCGCCGAAACCATCAGTAAAAACTCTGCATATGTCATATTAAATCTAATGGATTTCTGAATATTTACTATTAAAACTCAAAATAAAACAATATTATTTGCCTAAAGAGGTCTTCAAAAAGTCTTATAATAAAATAAATATCGATACCGATTTATTAACCCGCAAAATCAACGATAAAAAAAAGTGACGGAAACTGCTTCTGTAGCCGATCAATTACGGCAAATTTACACACCCCGTTGGAGCCCCATTTGTGATGCGCATGTCTAATTCAGGAATCCGGTTTTTATTTACAATAACAATGCATGACCTGTATTTAGTCGTATCAAAAGTTTATTTAAATCGGAGACTTTATTTTTGAGAAAATTTTAATTAACCTCATATTTTTAACGGAAACTGCTTCGATACCAGTATCCGCTTCTCTCCTTTTCCAGACCTTTGCTACAATACAAACAAATATACATCAGATTATTAACAAGCTTCATTCTAATAAATAAATATAAAATTTCATGGAAATCAGGACAAAATATCATGGAGAGTTAAATATTTGACAACGGTTAAAAGAAGTTATTATGGTAATACACTTTTCTATATATCAATGTTATAATACATGTTGACATGTCAATTTGATATAAATCTGAAACCAGGTTACTCGAATAATTATTTTTAAATAATTATAACCATAACGTAACAAAATATATTTTTGGCTGCTGATGGGATTTGTATCCGTCAATTACGAAACATATTGCATTAACGTGTACTTATTTTTACTAGACTAAGTCGAAAAACAATCATTCAGTGCATTAAACCAATCGTTATCAATTGTTGTCAAGGGAGTCATCACTGATACCAGTCTATCAGGTGAATAGAATATACTTTGTTTTATCCTATAACATGCAGTTTTATATGAGCGTTTTAACATTGACTGAATTGAGAAAAAAGTAAAAAAAAAATAACAAAATAAAATATTCGGATTTTAACAACGATACCAACATGCAATAGTCATCTGAAATTAATTGTTGCTTTTCAGTCTGACTTGAATGTTGTCATTTCAATAAATATTTTGCCAGGTGCAAATTCATTAAAAATGTTAAACCTTTACATAACGTTAACACGTATATAAACTTACTGTATATCTATTACTTCGAAACCGAGAAGTTATAAATCAATAACATATATATCAGTTAGCGGAATGTTCGACTTTTTGCGGATTTCCGTAGTTCGGGCTGATTTAATGGTATACTAAATTATCTTGTTGGCAAAGCTGCTTAATTGAAGAGAGCGTCTGGAATTATAGTTTCGACTGTTAAAATCAACAGAAAATATGCAAGATGCTTAATAATGAAAATACTTAGAACCAATAAGAATCGGTTGATTAACTAATCACATCGGTTTCATGTAAATGCATTTATCTTTTATATAAAGGTGATTTTCACAAATATTAATAACATAATCTAACAACAAATATTCACTCTTTTTTCCCAAAAGATGGTTATGATATTTTGTCATAAACATCATTTACTCGACACTGTACGGATATGGAACTTGATCACGTTAACTCGAAAAAAATGTATAATATAACAGATTAAGATACTGCGTTGTCCGTTTTTGTTATTGGCATTCTCCTGTCAATCAAGTTTCTAGGCTCGGGTATTTTTCGCGACCAGGATGAATTAACATTTATGCAAATGTTTTGAACGATGTTTTACTGTTTATCAACAAGAGCCATAGAGTTCACACTGTTCGAAATAACTAGGACATAACTTATATTAATTGTTTGACAGCTTCAAATATCTCGCCAATATCACAGGAGAACTCTGATGAAAAAACTTATAATATTAGAATACATTGTCATATCATAGCATCACAGAGGCATTTTCGTCAATATTACGGCTCGAGATATAATTAAAAGTAACACACATCTATAAAGAATTATTTGTTTCACAAACAATATAAAGGATTGGCATAGATGATAACATAAACACTTATTCATTAAAATGCCTTTGTCAGTTCTCTGTATCTTAACATGTTCACGAACATCTGAATAAACAATTTTACATCATTATCAGTAATTGCTATTTTTCATGTATTTCAATGTATTACAATCATATCTTGTGTCAAACATAAGTTTGATTATGCTTAAAGCTGACGCCCTTAAAGAGAACACAATGGGGGAAAACGCAATAAAATGGACACATGAAAGGGAAGAGAGGTTATGAAGCCTGCATAGTTAACAGAAAAATTAAAACAAACGAAAAAACAACACCCCTCTCCCCCAAAGAAACTTTATTGAAAAGTATTTAAGAAGGATGTCTAACACCATACCCGACTACAAAAAAATTTAATATACAAAGAACAAAACAAATACAAATGTACCACTTATCCAACGATAAAACACATCTAAGTGTCGATGATAACGAAATAACTATACAGACACAGCCTCAGGGGTTTACATATCCAATGGTTTCTTCAGAATGTTTCATTCCAGAAGATAAAATATCTTATGTCTGCGCCGTGGCGAATGAGATGCTCCAGTTACATGTTATATAAAGCAATAGGCAATCGACACCCCAAAACAGTTACATCAGCAAAACTTGCGAGTGATATATACGATCACTTATAAACGATAAAAGAAAAAAATATTAAAAGTAAGCCTAATATCAAATATTTAAACAAATTGAAAATAAATTTGATACAAACCCTAATAAAAATATCAGTTTTGTTACATTTCAAAATCATAAAAATAATTAAAAACTACGCCTTTTTTATAAAATGTATTTTTACACCTGAGATATACTATTAAATACGAGAGATCGTGAGACATTAAAATATTGATCGCTTTCAATAAATCTGTACTTTTGTTAAAACAAAATGCTATTTTTCACACAAATATATTTCCATTGAAACCGTTTCATTGACAAAGTTTAATATTAGTTTTTTTTTGCTAGACGCTCAGCATGGCAATTCCACTGTGTTAGAATGGCCTTGTTAAAGTTTTATGAGCGCCTTTAGATAGGTAATAGAATCTTATATTTCTCTTGTAAATGTGGGTGACATGAAGTCTTAACATCTGCAAGGCTGAACATTGTTTTGAAGCTCCCGTGGTGTCCTATCGCCATGCGATAATTTGTTTACTGGCGGTAGTATACTGGCTTTGAAATAGAACGTAAACCAAAGCTCTATAAAATATTTACCAGAAAATACAAGATTAGTCCTAATTTGGTGCTGGTCGGATGTGTTTAGACAGTTACCCCCTTGAACTTGTAAAAGATTTAAAACAAACACATATCTAATCATAAGCTTGCTTACAAAAAGGTAATATGCAATTTTCAAACTGTTAACGCTGAATAGTATCAGGGCCTTGAACTGTGTTAAAAATGTTTTGTATTAATATAATTGTTGAAGGGCCTTGAATTTAGAGTGAAAAAAATATAGTTTGTTCAAACAATTTAAACAAACATCTGTTCTATAATAAGCGGATAATAGCATTGTTTTGCATGCCTAAATGTAAATGTACTTTTATAATGGTAACAAATACAATATAGATGCATAAAGAAACTTCAATTGGAATGAAACCGTATTTTGCAGGAAAAAATTTTTTTGTATCTATACACGTTTAATATGACGCTGATTCTGCTGAAAATGCTGGGCGAGGTTTCCCTACGACTATGATAGCATTGAACACCTTCATATATATCGCGATTCATCCTTGCTTGCCTATACAACTTACAGTGATAATATTAAAAGATGAAGTTTCATATTGATGCATGAATGTAGCATGTATCTCAAGAGATAATTATCAAAAGAATAACTCAATAAAATGTCATACAGTCCCTTTATGCAATATATGTCGTGATTTATGCAAATTAATGCATTGCGTTAAAGAATGTTTTACGGTAATGTAATTGCATAATAAATTCAATGCCGATTATTTCATGTGATGTTTTAAAGGACCTTAGTGGGGATGTATTTCCTAAATCGATAGTGAAAGTTAAACAATTAATATAAAATCATTTGAATGCAACGTTTAACACATTTAAAAAAACATGTTATTTATGAAATAATAAATGAACATAACTACTTCAGTAGTATACATATAAGTACACATTATGATTATCAACTCTTGTTACTTGGAATATAAGAAGATATCATCAATATGGACTCATAAGGCATGTCATTACATCATGGCTTGTGCCAAAAAAAATCA